TTTTTTCTAGGTAACACATATGAACGTCTTACAAAAATTCAAAACATTGCAATTTCCAGCATAAATGGATTAGTTGCTCTGTGGAAGCTCCTGCATGACCTCCAGAGAGATTACTTACTGACATATCGCAGTTAAGCCCTTGGGCCATTGATACTTAATCACAAACAGTGCTGCAATTTCATTTTTCAAGTTTTATAGAAAGAAGCATTCTATGCTATACCTCTATTACAAGTGATTAAGGGAATTCACACCTTTATAAGTCTTTCTTTCATTTCTCTTTTAAAAATGGGAGGGGTGAAGTCCAACTGTTAGTTTTATTTAATTTTTTAAGTTTTTAAACTTTTTTGGTACTGGGAATCAAACTCAGAACCTTGTGCTTGCCAGGCAGGCACTTATGCCACTGAGTTATATCACTGGCCCCTCCAACCATTACTTTTAATCACACCAAAGCAAGCTATTAGTTTCTGAGCATTGTTCTAAAAGAAAACAGAATCCATATCTATATTCCACCTCTGCTTTAATTCCATCATTTCAGACATAAAATGGTCATGCTCATGGTCAATACACAAAGACCTCACCTTTTTTAAAATGACCCAACTTTCTGGAGGGTCATCCGTGTCCCCACATTTATTGAAAATAGTCAAGAAATGGAAAAAAACTAAGGGTCCACCTACTGATAAATGGATAAAGAAAATATGACACATATGTACAATGACTAAATATATTCACCCATGAAATCCTGCCAAATTTAAAGAATTTGATCTTCCCTGCTTACACTGATTAGTTTGCAAAACCAGAAAATGGAGTTACTGGAATTTCAAGAAAGCTCTATCTGGAGAAATACATTCCATGACCTGCATGCAAAATGTGAGCAAACAGAGAAAATGTGAAGGGATGACAAAGGACAACACAGTTGGTAGCTCAGAAAATGAAATCCTTAAAATTTAGAATTCTCTGCTAGATACGGTTAAGTCAATGATAGCACTTGGGATTGCTTTTCTTACTTTGCTGGATCATCTCGTGTTTGTGAGTAGCTGTTTTCAACTTTGAATTATATCAAACCTGATACTAGAAGCACACTAACAGATGACCTGAGTGCTGCATGTTCTCTTTCAAACTAATGAAATACAAGCCAAGGTCTGACAAATTATTAGCAGGCATACAACAGAAAAGATCACAATAATTGTACAAAAGCATGTCAAATGCAAACTTTTACCCTTCAATAAAAAGCACTGTGAATCACTGAAAGCTCAGCTATTGTGTTTTTTTTTTTTAAGTCAAAAGATGTTAATTATGAGTTGTTTTCTCTAAACTAAAATCTCAGTAGTGTTGGCACCTAGCAATAAATAACTGGGTTTTGGGTTGTAGTTGGGGACTTGGCTTCTAAAAGTTTCGCCATGACTACTCTATACCCAGGAAACTTCTGACCAGCTCTGTTTGTGTAAATTCAGTTCCCCTTTCCTAAAGTTTCATATAAATGGAATCAGACTGTATGTAGTCTTTTGAATTTGGCTTTTATTACTCTGCATATTTTTAAGATTCACTTTTGTTGTATATATTAGTAGTTTTGTCATTTTTATTCATTCAAGGATATAGGACAAAACATTTTTCCATTCACCTGTTGACAAATATGTAGATCATCTCAAATATTTGATAATATAAATAAAGCTGTCCATCCTTGTACAAGTCTTTGTGTAGTAGACATACTGTGTAGACATATGTATTCTTTTCTGTTGGAAAAGAATCACCATGGGACAAAGGCCCTGAGATAATCTGACAAATGTAAGCACAGAGAGATAACAAGGTAAGATGGTACACAGCCCCATAGGTTCTCCTAAATGTCACTAGAAAAAGAACCAGTGAATAGAAAACCCAGCCTTTGGATGTTTCTAGGTTTAAAAACACAGCAAGCGATCTCTGTCTAATGAGACAGATGATTCAGTGCATGACAGTCTAGTGAACATCAGAGGCATTGTCCAGATTGAACATCTAAGAAGGAGAGAATAATAAAGAGCTATTATCTCAGCTTTACAGCCCACTAGCAAATAAACCAGGAGTCTCAGGTTCAGCTGCCAACAAGAACAGACAAATGGAATAAATAAGAGATAGCAGGCAAGTGAAGCTGGCCTCAGAGTCTCAAAAGCAATAGGAAATGGCAAATTGGGACTCCTATCCTGAAACACTTGCTCTTGTTAGTAGAGGCATTCATAACACTCCTGCAGCAGTTCATGCCACCAAAAATTCAAGCTCACAGCTGCCAGATCTTACATTTTTGAAAAATCCATAAACAAGAATTTGTACATTATTTTTCTTTGTAATACACACAAGTCAAATCAAGTATGTTTATGGTGTTTATATAAGCCAAATCAACACTGTGGCCTCTCAATTTCCAAAACAGCCCACCCTGCTCCCACTTCTTTGCTGCCTTCTGTCTGTACCAAATGACTGAGCACTGCACCACCCACTAGGCCCTGGCATGTGAGTGAAGGATGCATCTCTATCTCATTCATAACATGCAAGATTCAGCCACGCACATCTAACAAAAGGAAGTGGAAATGGAGATCAATCACTATGGATGATAACGCTGTTTGATAAGAATGCTGAACCAAATTAAAATAATTTTTAAGCTGTCAGTAAAGAATAAGTCTTAAATCTCCAAAAACATCACTTCTGTTTTTGATTTTCTTTTGTTTGTTTGGTTTTGGTTTCTTGTTTTTAAAACTTAAATGCCCCGCTTCACGTATTAAAACTAACTGTTCTCAAGGTCAAGCTCTGGCATCAAGCCATTCTATGCTAGAAGTTAAAGAATAAACCACAAAAGATCACAAATTAAATGGAAAACTACTTCCACTAAAAATGTTGTAGAATTTTTAGCTTCTATACAAAGTAGATTGATACTTACTTTAAAATACTTTAATGTGAACCTATTCCAATTAAAGTCAAAGGCTTAAGGAATGAGTCAACCCTATCAGAATTCAACCTACATATGTAATTTACCATTTCCCACAGACTCTAAAAGGACTGCTATACGAGATCATCTTTGTTAATCATATACGTTATGGCCTCCCACACCCTAAAAAGCTTTCTTCCTTCACTACATGAGAATATAAAAATATAATCTACAATGCAAAGTGTCTTATATATTACCTAAGAAGGACTAGATGAAATGAGGTTAACATATAATTACCAACCACATGCAATCATATGTTTTTGATGAAACCTAATGGTGACAGGTTTCTCATATGGGTAATTTATACACATTGAGAAATATGAGTTGCATTCTTCTCTACCTGAAACCCTCAATAGATATTTTAGAGGGTAACTGATATTAATTGGGAAATAGAGTACAGCTTAATTCCTGAGATCAAAATGAACAATTGTGATAGAGCAGCCAATGATATAAAAAGCATAACTGATTCAAATTAGAATTTGTGTTTTTATAAAATTTTCTAAGTCCTTCCACATTCAAACCAAAAAATTTCACTATAGAATATTTAGAAAATGAAAAATAAGAAGAATCTTTTGGTACTTTAATGGTACTAGTACTTTAATGGTACCAGGGATTGAACCACTAAGCTACATTCAGGCCCTTTATATATATATATATATATATATATATATTTCTTTTTTTTTTTTTTTTTTTTTTTGAGATAAAGTCTTGAAAGTTTCTAAGATGTCCAGGTTAAGCTAAAATTTGTAACCTTCTGCCTCAGCTTCCCAGAATGCTGAGATCAAAGGCATGTGCCCACTTAGAAAGTGGTTTTTAATCTAATCTTCTTCTTTTACCATTGTATAATGGCAGTTAAGTGAATACAATGGAAATCTACCAAGTTAGTTCACAAGCATACTAAGCAGCACCAAGAATTTGTCATTAGACATGATGTTCACAAGTGCATAAACCCCCAATAAATTTCAGTTAAAAACAAAATGCCAATACCTCGCTGTCTCCAACCCAGCAGTAGCCAAGTAGGCTTCTCATTTGTTCCCAGTGTTGATCTGTCTGAAAACAGTCACTCTTATATGCATGACTCATAGTTACTATATTTTCTATAAGAGGCCAACAGAAGCTTGAAATCTAAAGTACTATACAATGAGACAACATAACTTACTGACGTATTACTGGCATTTTATTCAAATACTATGACAGCATCCATACTTTGTAAAAAAAAAAAAAAAACACAAAAACAAAAAAAAACTAAGACACAACAAAGAAAAGAAATATAAGAGAAAATAAAGGAAGTGCAAATAAGGGAAGGAGGAAAAGTGGTAAAGCCCAAGATGCTCAAAAATAAAAGCAAGCTAATTGTTACAAATCTACATCAGAGGGTGATAGTCACAAAAACATTTGACCTTTACAGCAAAACTTTTGACAAGAAAACCACAAAACTAACTGAACAATTACAATAGCCAGATCAAAATTATGATTTCCAAGAAGAAATGAGTATTATAAATATATATAGTAATTATGTTGATTTATTTTTCCATTCCACCATGCTTCTTTCAGTGTAAATTCTAAAGTATACATCTATATGAGGAGAGCAACAAGTTCTGAGGAATGATAAAGTTACTTTATTTTACATGTTTCAAATAACAGTCCCACAAAATCCTGTTTCTTCTATAAAAAGAAATTAGATTTCTAAATGAAAATACACCCCCACACTTGACTATTCATGAAGTCATACCCAGGGTAATAGATTTAGTCATGAATAGTAAATGTCAATTTATATTCTTCTCTATCAATAACATTATACCCTTGTATGGAAATGACATAATGTTCTTTCTCAAGAAATAAAAACCACTGGTCCTTGCTTTGAGTTTCATAACAGAGCTTAACTTATTTCTGTTTTTCCTTTCTACATCAAGAATCAAGCTCTGCCAAGCACCCTGACAGTTTTCCTTTGAAAAATGCTGAGTTTTGGCTAATAGAAGTCTCGATACAGCAAAAACTTAAATGATTTAATATTACTAATATGGATGTATGGTCATTATACCCCACTTACCTAATACACTGACAAAAGCATCAAAAAGATGAAATGTAAGCAGTGGCTCTTTCAAGTGACTGTAATAATCTGCTATAGTTTTAAACACATCTTTTTCAAATCCCGAGTACATCGGCTGCTTCAAATCTGAACAGTTGGGCCCTATTTTGTTAAAAAAAAAAAAAAAAAAGAAAGAAAGAAAGAAAGAAAGAAAAATTAATGGCACAATATTCTCTGTGTATTAGAATCTGTGTATACTTGTTGTGTGTACAGATGTACAAACATTCAGAGACTTACACAGAAAAGCTGTCATGGAAAATTGACACTATATAAACTGGCATTATATATTTTGCTTCTATAAATAAATCTATTATAAAATAATGAGGAAAAATACTGGCTTACTTCCATTTTAAAATAAATCCACTTTTTTATGTTCTTTTGAAGGTATTTTTATTAAATGTAAACAATGATCATTTTCTCCAAAATGTTTGTTTTCCCAATCTTGATAAAACTGACCCACATAACAATTAGTTCATATATACAATATACAAGTTATAAAGTAAATTTTATAGGTTTCCATTATTTCATTTTTATATTTAAAAGTCCTAAACAGAATTGAGTAAAATGATCAGTTTTCTTCCTCTAAATTATTTTAGATTAATAAAAATGTAAACTTTTTAAAAAGATAACCCAAAAAGGAAATTAAACATTTTGTCTTACTAACTCATTATGATTATAAACTCTAGTTGATTCCTGACCAACCATTAAATGATAGCTTGTTGTGCAGAATCAGAATGCAAAGCTGGACCAAGTTCAGGACACTGAAACAGCCTACCATAGGCTGTGCTGGCAACAAAGAAAAGAAACATCTACCAGTATCTGGGACCAAAGAGAAACAAGAAATGCTCTGTGCAAAACTGGTAGCAAATGCCCCCAACAATCCATTTAGGAGCAAAGATTTATAGCAAGTTGACAAACCAGACCTACTCATGCTTTGAAATAAATGGCCAGGGGTCCCCTGAGGAACACTTTAGCCAGCCTTCCTTATTTCCATTACATTGTGGAAGAAAGAAAAATAACTACCGTGGCAAGTTCAGAGCCAGCAGGAGATTAAACAGCAGTACCCAATAGACTCCTATTCCCAAGTGAAAAAAGAAATGGCCAAGATATATTAGAAGGAAATGCTTTCTACACAATCTCTGGAACTAAGAAAAGGATCAAGTTACCAAAAACAAAAGCACAGTAAAGCATTCTGGGCCTTTGCCCTTCAATGCACTGGGACACCATGAAGTGAATTTTTCTGGTCTCCCTAAAAACTTTTATCTTTCAAAATTCTGTTTTCTTCTTAAAAAATAATAGCTTAAATCATGAAATATTTACGTGTGTGACACCACATAAACCAGCAGCAAATATGGCCACCATTTTTGCCTGCTTTCTATTGACTGAGCCCAAGTTTACACAACTGCAATAATCAGTTTGGTACGTCTCCACATTGCTCAGAATGAGTCATTACCAAGATGGAGTAGGTGGCTCATTCCATGCCACTATACCCTTCCTCAATATTTCATCCTTATTAGAAACATGAGAAAATTTTTATATAGGGTTTCCCTAAAAACAAAAGCCAAAACGAGTACACAATGAGCTCTATGAGAGGTAATATTTTTCAAAGATCTTTTCTTTCATAATCACCTTTCTTAATCACCTTGAACTTCAAGGCTATTTTTTCTTATTCTAATTTTTCATGTTATTACTGATAAATTCTGGAAATAAAATGCTTTGGTTTTGTTCAAATTTTCATTTTCATTCTTGTGATCTACACAGAAGAAGAAAAACCCAGTTAAACTGGTTTTGGATTTATTTAGCACCAATCTCTCACTGTGTGGCAGGCCATGAGTAAGCCTGGCTAACAACTGAAGTATTCAGGCTCACGTGAACATGGACTACAATAACTGCAGAGAATTAAAGGGAAAGAGGAGCGTTTCAGGCTTATCAAAAAGGAAATAATCAACCTTCAAAGTGTCATACATTCAACTTATCCTTTTTGTTTCAATTTGGATGACTACAGTGGAAATGCAGACTTACTAAGGATAAGCAGAACAAGAAATAGGCTATGACTTTGATAGCCTCAAATTAATTTTTGAGGCTCAAGAAGAATTTTGAAAAACAAGAGACTTTTACAAAGCTATTCAAAGGCTGACCTTGCCCTTTGATACATAATTCCTACTTTCAACATTCTCTACCAGACAGAATACCACCTCATATACATGTAACCATTACTAAACTATCACATCTTTCCACTCCATTGAAATTCACTTATCTAAACATTCTTTGGAAGTTTTGTGGCTTTACATGTAAGTATGTCTTACTTATGAAAAAATTGTATTCCTCACTATATTTTAGTGATCATTGAAAATCAAACATCATAAACACAACTTTGCACAAGTTACATTATAGCTTAGGTGTATTATACCAGCCTCCTATGTTCATTTGCAGCCAAATCCTGCCAGTTCAGAAATGGGCAATTTAACTTCTTATTTATACTTTGCATCTCATCACTGCCAACTTTGGCTGAAGATATAGCTTAAATTTAATTTACTTCAAATGTTTGAACAGGAAGAATAAAAAGCACTTCCCCATGCTAAGCCCACAATACTTTACATCACAAAGTTTCTACAATAGTAACCCAAACTAATAAAAATTCTAATAGTGAAACCCAGAGAACTTCGGGCTTTCACAAACTAACATTGCTGTGTGCATATTCAAAATGATAGTATATAATCATTTTTCATATCCACTAAGATTATACACATTAAGTTGAGTAGTTAGTTTCATTCTATAATCAAACAAAACTGTAGCTAAATTAATAATTTGGGGTCTACTAATACAGGAATTTATATACTTATTTTCACATGCAAGTTTTATCCTAAAAAGAAGGAACTAACCTTCTGAGGTTTTGTGCAATCCAAAAGAACTTCTCTAAGCCACATTGCACCAGCACCCATCAATCAAAATAACTAGAACTCTTCTCCAGGAGGCTGAGGCAAGGGAACAAGTTCAAGACCAGGCTGGACTATCCAGGAAGCTCAAAGTCAGCCTGACTACAGAGCAAGACTTGTCTTAAACAAGCAAGCAGACAAACAAAAGACTGTTTATGGCACACAGCCCTTTCACTTAGTCATACTTTTATCATAAACAGCATAATAATCCCAAAACAATTAATTGCCAGTCTCACAGGTGTCAAATAAATGCTCAGGTCACTAAGCAGAAATCTTTTCTAATTCAGGGCACTAATTTCTATTAATTTCCTACAACTGGCAGATAATTAGTACTTACAATTTGCCAAACACTTCATAGCTGACAGAACCCAATGAGGAAGTTCTTCTACAGGAAAAAAGTGAAAGTTAAAAAGAGTATTTTATTCAATTCTACATAACTCAAGGAATTATATATATATATACACATAGATAGACTCAATATATAGCTAACATGAAATATGTCACTAATTTACATATCAGAACATTTAAGACAGAACTCTTTCCTTAGCAGTAACAATTTTCTCTAAGGAGAAAATGCACATTTTCAAAATTTAGTAAAAATGGGCTGAGGATTTAGTTCAGCGGCACAGTGCGTAGGTCCAGAGTTTAAGTCCCAGTACTACCCCTGCAAAAAAAGATTTAGTAAAAATAAAAACTGGGTATTTTGTCTCAGACAAACAAATCAGCAGAGAAATCAATTAAACCTTAGAAATATAGAAAAAAATACAGAAGAAGGAAAAATACTAATCAACAAATGCATTTGTGAAACAATTTTATCAACCACCCTCCAGAACATAACTAAAAGTAAAGTAAGGGTTGAGAGTTGTTCGGCAGTGGCATATGATTACATGTGTGAAGTCCAGGCTTGACACTCAGGGCCACAAAAAAAAAAAAAAAAAAAAAAAAAAAAAAGGTAGATCTGTAGGTTAAACGTAAATATCGTTTTATCTGTTAACTATTTTCAAAATGTTTTAGGCCAAGAAAGTTCCACTAACATATAAAATTTGGCTATTAGAATTAGGACAACCCTAAAATGATAGGAGTAATATTGCTACACAGAACTGCAGTGGGACTATTTGGAGCAGTCTCCCAGACACTGCAAGATGGGCCAGCATCATGATTCCACTTGTCCTCTCTACTCTGTGAAGGTGGGAAGACACTGTTAAACTGAGTTACATTGAATCAGTCTTATACAATCCTGCATTCTTCCTGAAGTACTTAATAAAACAAAAGATGACTGTCATTTGGCTGTAGCTAAAAGTGTTAATCTGTTACACTCAGAAAATGTGGAAGGTTAGATGTATTGCAAAGGCCACATTGCCCCTCACTACATGGAACTTAACACTGTATGTTGGTATCAACGTGACAAATCAGGAGGTCACTACAAACCTACCTGCCTCCCACTGTCCTCTATTCCTGATTCAGGGGCTGAGAAAGGCAAAGTTTTTCTACTTTGAAAGGCAGGGTCTGCTCCTGTCAGGCAACAAGGTCTGAAATACCCTCTTCTGACATACTCTGTCTATTGCACAGGAGCCTCCAGCCCTGAATTTAATAATACTTTATAAAATCTGAAAAGTATTAGACCATTTTGTCACACTCAAATGTCATTTAGTGCCAGCCAATTCTTAGCTTCAAGAATTTGAACTAAAAGGACAAATCATAGTGCTATTCAACTGTGGTCTATCTCTTATCCTTACAAAGGAAGTTAAAAAAAAAAAAAAAAATCAGTCTGGGGACTGTGGACCTCTATAGGCATCATGACTATATTTCTCCACATCAAAAACCAGGTCAGGTGACTGTTAAGTGTCTTTTTCTCCCCTGATTTGTAAACTGGCTTGATCTATAAATAAGAGATTGAAAAAGCATTAAAGTACCATCAACATTTAAAGAGCAACCTTATTAAAAAGGAAATAAAGTGACATAACTCTAGACTATCCCAGGTGACTTGACAAAAAGTACTATGAGAAATTAAGTCGGAATCTTAAATGCTGGGGTCACACTCCAGTGCCCCCTGAAAACTGACTCAAGCACTCAGTTAGGTGTTAAACACATTCATGTTTCCAACAGACAACCACTCATTTCCCAGGGGAACTAATAATAACTTGTGTTCAGATGGATTTTGTTGAGGGTCTTACGCTGGGATACTCCTCTTTCTATTTCATTTTCTTAATTTAAACAATGAGTTAAAAGGTATTTTACAAATCAAAGTGTTAGGAAGTGAGAGAAGGATATATGTGATGAAAGTGTGACTTATTTAGGGTTTAGGAAAGGGTTAAATAGGAGCTGATGAACCTGTGTAGCCAATGAGTTGGCTCAGCCTAAGGCAAAGGGGTTTCAGGCACTTACTGGACTTGTCATTGAGGATCACAACCCCCTGCTTGCTGACACTGTAAACATTATGGATGATGAACTTGGCGTTGATGAGTTTGATGTCTAAAATTTCTTCCAAGGAATCCAGGCCAAGGATTTTCTGTAAACTATAAAGATAAATAGTGACTAAATTATTTAAATGCTTTTAAAGAATCATTATTTAACTAAAAGCATAGCATGGCAAAAGATTAATCTTTAAAATGTATTATTTTCATATTTTACTCAATCTTTGTGAGCAAAATGGTTACAAATGGAATATGACAATAAAATTCACCTTTAACATGTTGCTTCAATGATTTAATTACATAATACCTTGAATTTTAAGAAAGTAATTTTATAGGCAAAAACATTATAGAAACCAAAACAAACTTATCCAATAGTGAGAAACTGCAACCAGTACATCTTGTGGAGGGAAAAAACTGGTATAATACTGCTAAATTTAATTATACCTTATGTATGTGCCTCAAGTATATCAGACCCATTTTTGTACTATTTGTTTATGAAGTGAAGGATTCCAGTCTTACCAGAAAGTATAAAAACTATTAAACTCCTATTTTTAACTATTACATAGGAAGACAATAGAAAATTCTTAGAATTCAGTTAAATTATGTTGGCTAAATGACATAGGCACATATTGTGCAAAGTTGAGGTTTTTATATGCAGTTTCAGAAAATATGCAGAAAGTAATGAAACTGCAAAACAGAAAGAAGTGACTAAAATTTCTCATTCATGTTAAGTGCACATACTATGACAAGGTCATCGACTTCCAGATCTCCTCCACGTGAGCCTCAGTCAGCTGTGTACGGTGGACCAGACGGCAAGCCGGCACCTCACCAATGGCGATACTGTGACGCTTGAACCACATCTCAGAGTTCTAATTCAGAGGGAGGGTCGGGAGGAACAAGAAGGGACAGAAGAAAAGGGATAGTGAGAGAGACAATATTTCAGTGTAAGACTGTATGAGTTTTGGAGAAATGTCTTTGATTTGGCTATCCATAATTTGATTTAAAACAATTAGAATTATAAACTAAAGTTCTTTTCATGGACCTCAGAGATAGAAAGAATGACTCTTAAGATTAGGTGATAGTATAAATGAATATTCTTGAATTACCAGAGTTACGGCATTAAGCATGACATCATCTCGCTAATACTTCAGGTATGACTTCCAACTAGTCAGTAAAGTAGCAATAAAATAAAATTTCAATAATTCAAAATTAAGACAAGGAATATCTTTCTAAGTTTGCACTAAACTGAAAGAGTGCTTAAAATAAGAAGTGTATTACTTTCAAGAATTCTCTGTATTTTTATAAGCAAATATCAAATAGGCACAATGCTGGAAAACAGCCCAATCCCAGGCATCTACAAAAGACAGAAAAGCAAAGGTGAGAACAGCTGAGAGCAGCTCGGAGCAGGGGGACTGAACCCTGCGCTGCAGAGGAAAAAAGCTAAAGCTCAGCGTGGTGAAATACTTGTGCTTGGTCCCTCAGCTTCTCCACCTCCAAGCGCTCAGCAGCTCGTATCTCACATATACGCTAGTGAACATAAACTATAAAACTTGCTTTTAAAATGACAAAGACAAATTTTGACCTTTACGGGCAAAAATATTAGAAGACATATCTAAAGAGTTTCTAGTAATAGTTTTTAGTAATGTTAATATTATAAAAAAACTTATTAATCTGGGTTGGGAAGGAGTAAGAAAGTTGTATTATTGCCTTAGATTTTGATTTTGATTTTAAAAAAATTATTGAATGACAAAAAACTTCAAAGGCTACATAAGTATGTGCATTTTTAAATATCTAAAACAATGGTTTATTTTTCAAGTTCAGCACATAGGTTGTTGCATATGCCTAGCAAATCTACTTCTAAATACATCCCTAAAAAACTCAGGGCCAGGGATTTAGCTCACTTGCATAAGCGCCTGCCTGGCAAGCATGAGGTTGTGAGTTCAATCCCCAGTACAAAAAAAAAAAAAACCCTCACAAGTATATTTAAATATTTACCTATAAAGATAAATAAAAATATTACTTTTATATTAGACGATGCACACAAAAAACTATGTCAGATGCATGGCTATGCACTGTAATCCTAGTACTTGAAAGGCTGAGAGAGAAAGATCACAAGTTTCAGGCCAGCCTGGGCTACACAGTGGGCCAGCCTAAACTATATATAACAAGACCCTGTCTCAAAAAACAAACAAGGGGGCTGGGGATTTAGCTCAGTGGCATAAGCGCCTGCCTTGCACGCAGGCAGTCATGAGTTCGATTCCCGGTACCGATAAAAAAGGAAAAAGACAAAAAAAAAAACCAAACAAACAAAAAGAAGTTTAACAACATAAAAAAATGGATATAACACATTAAGAATAGAGGCTACAAAATAGAGGAACATATGTTTTGTGTTAAAAACATGCAGGGAAAAAACATACAATAAACATGTTAATTATAGTAATTCTCTCTAGATAATATCATGGATAATTCATTTTCTTCTTTTCTGCCTAAGCCAACTCTAAGAAATAAATCAGTAATAGCAACAGCACTTAACAATTCCAAGCATTTGTGTTCCAAACACTATAATTAATATTGTGTGGCTACAAAATCACTTGATCTTCACGGCAACCCTACCTTAAAGGGTACTGTTATCCTAGTAGCTGAAAAACCTAAGAATCAAACCAGCAGTCTAGCTTTCAGTTTGCTCTTACTCTTCACATTACAATGGTTATTCAGCACACATAACAAATAATTGTATTTGCTCTGCTTTATTTTATTTTATATAATGATAGATAAGAAACGAGATAATACAAAAACAAGCACAGAGATACAATAAAAAAGAATGACAAGCTCAAGGCCCAAAAGAAAGGTGTACCGATAATTTATTGACTGTTAACTTCATTGTTCTAAAAACTGTCTCACAGTTCTGAAAAGAAAACAGATCCTCTCTGCCAATCTTTCCTAGACAATCCTCAAGAGGCATGAGACCAGGCTTTGGTGTGATTGCATGTAATAAGCAAGGAGCTCAAACACCTACCACTTCAGAGGGAGCACAAGCAAAGGAAAGACAAAAGTCACATGAAAAGAAGAAATGAGGGACAGATGGCCAGGGAAGAAACAGGTCTAGGAAGTCCAGCAGTTGACTAATGTGGAACTCTGGCATCGAACTTCACTGAACCAGGGAGAACAGAACAGGGAAGTCAGTAAATCAATGCCAGTAAAAGCACATTAATGTAATGTGGAATTTTATCCCTGTGGGTAAATAATACCAAGTGAACCTACAATGAAAACATGCCTACTGAATAACTGCTCTACTTATATAGTCATATTAGGTGTTTTAATTCTAATGATGAAAAAATGTACTTGATTTCTTGGAACTTATATTTTAATTTTCTCTCAGACAGGAGCTATCGAGTAGACAATAACTACTCTTGACTAGATACAAAGGCCTCAGATAAAACTTATTCAGAATATTTTCACTATGTTTCTAGTAGTTAATTTCACTATGTTTCTAGTAGTTAATTTTGCACTGTGTGCTTCCCTGGACCGTGAGCCCTTTTACAGTAAAAATTGTGGCAGAGATTACTGTTCCTGTAAAGGTTGGCACAATGTCTGGCATACAGGAACACTCAACAAACCCTTCTAGTAAATAGAGGACTTCAAATACAGCATTCTCTAAATCCAAGCTCATCGTCTCCATCTGTCTGTTAAGACACTTCATTCAATATAGCCCATCTTTATCATTAATTAAACCCTGACAAATCTATACAACCCTATGTAGTCTCTGTTTCCATCAACAATGGCACTCTTGTCCTTGAATCATTTTTGAGATGATTCCAGGGTAAACCTCTTAACTATTTTCTCCACACTGAAACACAACACAATCTCTGTAGAATTATTTTTTAACCACACAACCTAAAAATGGTTTCATCATACCTTCGCAAACAAAACTATGCTCTGGACATCAAGTTTTGTATGACTATATTAACTTAAAACCTTAGTATTTAGAAGAGTCTTTAAAACTGCGTTATAAAATTTTCTCTGTATTATATCTTTTACGATTATCTCAATCTTGACAATATTCTATAGGTATATTTCAAGGAAAAAGTATGAAAAAGAAAAAAAGAGGGACTCTATTTCACAGTGAGCTGAGGTTTTCCAAGACTAGAGGAACCACCTTTCTCCATATATTGTGTCATTCTGCAATATACCATGTTCTACCCTCTCACTCTCAACTAATAATAATTATATAAAGTTCAGAAGAAAACAGAAAAGAAGAGTAAGACACAGGATAGGCATGAAAAGGGAGTTTAATAAAAATTTGCTGACAGAACATATGTAAACAGATTCCGTATATTTGGTCGAAATGTCAATGGGCAAGAGTGAAAAACTGAAAAAGCCAATCTTTGTTAACTGGTCTCTCGGCTGTTGGTCACAGGCTCCTGCTTCATGGAACCTCCAGACTACTGTCAGGAAGGACCAAGAGAAGGAAGCAGCTCAAGCCTGAGAGCTACTAGATGATTCCTCCCAGGAAGGGCCTCTGTCTTTTAGCCACAGCACTTACCATCACAACCGGCCTCACTGGGATGTTTTCTTGTGAAGTGCCTGGTGGGGAATCATTCCATTCTGGGAATTTAATAACATCCCTTTGGTATGGGGGCTTCTTTGGGTACGGTTTCAGGGGTGAGGAAGGAGGAAATCTAAAAGTCAAGAAGAAAGGTTCTATTATTGCAGTCAGTGGGAGACACAAATATTTTAACAAGAGCTACCATAATGTGTATCCTTGAGGATTTATAATATAACCCCAGACATCAAGTAATAAATGGACTCAGCCTTCATCAAACTATTAAACATCACTCACTATATCCAATAATAATGTTTTTAAAAAACAGTCATTATGCCCATCAAATAACATTTATAGAAAGTAAGTTATCGAATATGTTATACATTTCAAAAATAAATAAATAAAACCTGTCTTATCTTTGGTTTTCGTAAGTGTTCTTAATGGGATGCTAGGCCCCTTGTGTGACCCAGTTTGAAATCCTTATAGCCACATAGTTTCTACCAAAACTTACAGATGGCAAATAAAATAATTGATTAAAAAGTTCTCAATGTTTGCTAAGAAAGAGTACACTAATACAAAAATCACTTGGCCTAATATTTGCCTTATTAACAATTTTTAATAAACATTAATCCTCTTCCTTTTGAGTATCGCTTCACATAGGAAGTGTCAATTTCAAAGTCTACCTTGAAGGAGTTAGAAAGCTGCCCATTGCCCTTATTCTGCCTTTTTACACATCTCCTCTCTTTCTGGCTTTCTTGCATATCAACGGCATCGTTCCGTGGACAACACCATAGACATCTCCATCAACTCAAACTCTCTCCACTGGTCTGCACTACTCATAGTGAAGAACTAAAACCAAACATATGCCATTCTCAGAGGATCTTCCACTGTAAGCTTACTAGGAAAGGATCCATCACAATATATTGCAGGGCTGAGGCTGCAGCTCGGTGGGCAGAGCACTTGTGAGCAGGCACAAGGTCCTGCATTCAATAACACCCCACCCCACACTGCCCCAAAAGAGGGAGAAGCTACTGCAGCACATTGCAAAGGCTATGCAAGAACTCTGCATCCTCCTACTGACACAGAAGTCAGTAGTTTTTTGACTTTTAGTTTTACTTTTATTTAAGCCAGAGTAAGTGCTGAAGATCTTGCCTATAAAATCCATGGAAAAAGCATTCAAGTAACCAAACATTTGGTCTTGAGACAAATGCAGAAACAAAAAATTTTAAAAAGAGCTATAGTTTTCAAGGAAAGTTTGTATGACGGTGAATCATAAGACTCACAAATAAGAGCACTATAGAGAAACATTTCGAAAACAATCTCAAGAGACTTGAAAAGTGATGACTAATGGAGAAAAGATGAGTTTCATCTTCTCTGAAAAGAACATCTAATAATGGGACTTTACTTGAAAAGTCAGTTTTGAGTCAGTAAGAAAAAAACGTGAAGTCTGGAAATCATTAAATCAAGTTAAAAACAAATAACTGAAAGCTTAAATTTCTGGTAATCAACTTACTAAGGCAGTGTTCCTGAAAGAGTCTAAAGTATAAACTAAATGAATCCCTAAATCCAGTCATGGTACCTTACTTTGGTAAGTGAAGGCTAGCACCCAATCCAATTTCTTAAAAGTCCACAGTCACAACAAAAGTCCCATTTCCAGCTAAACTATGGTGTTTATGTCCACACTTGTAAACACACACACACACACACACACACACACACACACACACACACAGTTTAATTCCAGGCATTCACAAATTAACGCACCTCTCAGTCCATTAAAAATTAAACACAATCCTTACCCTTACTTCACCACCAATATCCACTCTTTACTCACCAACTCAATTCTCTTAATTATGGCTTATAAACTTTTGGACCTGAATTCTAGGCTGGGCTTTCTCATAAACAGTGTGTCTTTTGGAAAGTACAAGTATCTCTAAATCCCAATCTATTCAGTTTTCCAGTGAAAGAATTAAATTGGATAACGTATGAATGTCATTCTGTCTTCAAACATGGGTTTCTTATATTATCACACCCCAAAAAATAAGTACTATCACCCAAAGACCAAAACAGAATTTCTTAAGCACAGACTGGCAATTGAAGAGAGGCCCATCCCCACCACTCTAAAAACAGGCTCTTTGCCACAGTCACATTTGCAGCTATCAACAGGAAATTTGGAGGTGTGTTAGTTATTTTCATTGAAGTCTGCCAAATTTGTCTGAGATAAGATGCAGAGGAATTCCGTCTAGGGCCAGGGATATAGCTCAGCAGCACAAGCATCTGCCTGGCAAGTGCAAGGTCATGAATACGATCCCCAGTACCCCCCTAAAAAAGAACTTCGTTCAGTAAGCTACTTTTGTTTTGTGTATTGAAAGTTATCAACTTCATCCGACATTTTAACATTTTAATTATGTACTCTGAGGCTAGAAAGTCTTTTAGAGTTGATCTAATTCAAATGTCACATTTTTCACACAGGGAAATTAAGAGATAAAAAGGATTTATTAAAATCTTTCTAACTAACAGGCCAAGAAAGCAAACCCATCTTGCACAAAAGATTTGCAAGCTCTTTCATATGAAAATTATAATATTAAAAGATGTTAAAGAGCTAAATTGATAGAGAAATACATCACATTGGTGAATAAGATTCAACATTATAAAATTTCAATTTTCCTCATGAAGATACATAATTACAATGAAATTACAATGAAAATACAAAGTTTTTCATGAAACATGATAAACTGACTCAAAATTCATATGCAAATGCAAAGCGTGAAAAATAATAAAGATGACACACCATAGAAATGATCCCTGCTAGTATACTGGCAGCACGGGAGGCTGAAGTGAAAGGATCACTGCAATTTTGAGACCAGCCTGGACTACAAAGTGAGCCCAAGGTCAGCCTGAATTGCATAGTGAGACCCTGTCTCAAAAAGACAAAAAAAAAAAAAAAAAAGTATACCGGAATAGATTACAAGATCCATACACAACTAAAAACACACTCAATCACCTGACAAAGGTGCCATACATGTTCACTGGAAGAAAGATAGCTTCTTTAATAAATAGTGCTAGGAAAACTGGCTTTCCATATGCCAAAGACTAAAACTAGACCTATGTGTATCTCAATGCACTAAAGTCAAAATGGGTCAAAGATCTAAACATTAAAACAGAAACTAAATCTACTGGTAGAAAAAGTCACGTAGAAATCCTGAAGACATAGGTGTAGGCAGAGACTTCATTAACAAAAGACAAACTGCATGAGAAACACTTCAAAGAATCAACAACGGCATCTCACCTTATTAAAAAGGTTTTGCACATCAAAAGAAATCACCAACAGAGTGAAAATACAACTCACAGAATGGGAAAAATTTTAGTCAACTGTCCCTCAGATAAAGGATTTCTAATTGGAACATATAAAGAAATTTTAAAACATCAAGCCCCAGGGCCAGGAATTTAGCTCAGCAGTATAAGCACCCGCCTGGCAAGCACGTGATCATGAGTTCACTCTCTGGTACCAAAAATAAATAAATAAATAAATAAATAAGGCCCCCAAATTCAAAACCCAATCCAAAAAAGGACATCTGAGATGAATACACACTTCTCAGCTGAAAAATACAAACAGCAAATAAATATACAAAAAAATGTTCAGTATCATTGGTCATTTGAGAGAGGCAAATTAAAACAACACTGAGATTCCATCTCCAGAAAGAATGGCTGCCATAAAGAAATCAACCAGTAACAAATGACAGTGGGGCTGTGGGGAAAAATGAACACTTCTCCACTGTTGGTGAGAGTATAACTGATACAATCACTGTGGAAAACAGTGTGGAGATCCCTCAAAAAACTACTATTGGAGATCCCATTTGACCCAGCCACTCTCCTGCTGGGTATCTTTCCAGAAAAATTAAAAACATCATACTACAGCGATATATGTATAACCATGTTTACAGCAGCACAATTTGTAATAGCTAAATCTTGAAAACAACCCAAATGCTCATCAACCAAGGATGGATAAAAAAATGTGACATGTGAATGGAATACTATTCAACTATAAAGAAGGATAAACTGGAGACTTTTATAAGTAGATGATGCAACTTGAGACCATACTTGTAAGTGAAATAAATCAGACTCACAATTGTACACATCATATTGTCTCCCTAGTGTAAGAAGCTAAAAAAGTAAGTAAGATGAAAAATGTACAATAGATATTGGGGAAGGGGAAGAAAGTGTTCAAAAGAAAGAGAAACAGAGATGAGGGAAAGGAAAAAAGGAAGGAAACATAAATAAACCTATTATCTATATATTTGCACACATCTATATATATATATATATATATATATATATATATATATATGTATATATGTATAAACAAGATAGTTAAGATAGTTATGGTACTAATTTCTATTAGTTCATTGAAAAGGTTTGTGCTTACATTGTTTGATCAATTTTTCATGCCTATATCCTATAATTTGAGCAACTACTTTGAAGATAACAATATACAATGTATTAACCATTGTTACTCTCCTACTATCTTGTTTTGAAATTTTGCATCATTGTTTTTATTACTTTTTTCTCCTTAAAATAAAAAAAAAAAAAAAAATGGAGATATGCTTAAAGAAGACAGACAGAGGAAAGTGACCAGCCTAAGAAATACGAGGTCAGTGAAGACAATGTAGCCACACTTATACTGCTGCATAAACCAGGTTTCTCGATGGCAGCATCACCAACATTTAGAGCCAGTCCTTTGTTGTGAGCATGCCCTGTGCATTGCAGAATGTTTAGCAACATCCCTGGCTTTTACCCACTGGATACTAGTAGCACTTCCCCAACATATTTATTATTTATGACAATTAAAAACTTCTCCAGATGGTTCTGAATGGTCCCTGCAGAATTGTCCCAAGTTGAGAACCTTCGGCCTAAATGAAAATCTCAAACAAATACACAGGCAAATTTAGAAACATGATTTATGACAGAACACATAACAGGTCTATGAGAAAGCATGCAATGTTCAATAAACAGTACTGGGTCAACACTTATCCTTTTGGGAAAAAGGAAACTGCCTCCCTGAAGCAGACTGCCACTTTTCCAAAGATGATTATATTCCAAAGGTAGTTCAGCCGCCCCATGGCTTTCTGCGGTATA